GCACTCGAAAGGTTGAGAGCGCCCTCATCTGATGGCACGACATCTGCCATTTTGAAGCCACCGAATGGACTGAATCTGTCGAGAAGATAGAGAGCCAATGCGACCACATGTACGGATACCAGCACTAGATTTAACAACCATTAGATCATAAAAATGTCTATTAAAATATCAATTAATTTAATGAACACATGAATTAAAACTAACCCAAAAGCCAAAGAGTGTTTTCAAAGGGTTGTAAGAATGAGGCTAACGCTGCCTTTCGGGGCTGTCTTTTCTGAAGAATAGTAATTCCCTCGTATTTAAAAGGTTTGGAAAAATCAATCACTTGTCCTCTGATATGAAAAGAAAATATTAAAAATGTAAAATAAAAATATATATAATGTATTTAATAACTTCCAATACCTCTCAGGGTTAGCAGTGAGAGGTGCGGCCACCATATCTCCTCTTTTATAAACCAATTCTCCTATAAGTTTTCAAATATTAATATACCTTTATTTATAAATATAGTTATTAATTCATACCGACGAGTCCTGACCACACTTTTGTGCCGTTCATAAAATCATAGGTTCCGTACTGTCCATCTTCTACTTGTTCCAAGTCATATGTAAAGTTCAATTTTGCTGACAATACTTCCATTAAATCAATACAATAGCCTTCACAACACTCATCAAAATATACTTTTGCAGTTGAATTATATATTGGACAATATTTTTGACCAATTTTACATTTTCCTTCAATCATTGGTTTTACCCAAACGAATGGCTTTTCAGCCAAAGTAAATACCCTTAAATGTTTTGGTATTACATATCCTTTAAAACAAATTAATTGTTAAAATATTACATTTGTATTCACTTTCAATTACCGAGCGGTGGTTCAGTCAGATTTCCCGGCCATACAATTTGCTCTACATTTAAATTCAAATCCATTTTCATGATTGCATTGGAGAAGGAATACTTTCCAATCACTTTCTCTTTTCCGTTATTAATATTAATGATTTCATAATCACTGAGAAGTCTGTCACCGAACTCGTCGAAAGCTATTCTTCCGGTTTCTCCGCTAAATGTTTGGTTTTTTAAATATTTGACAAATTTGATGCCAGTTTCCCATTTGTTGATTGAGATCTTTCCGCAATCAGTCGGCGGGACTGTTATGTTCTCGTTGTCATACATTTGCTTCAATGCATTTGCCAGCACTTGGACGGTGTCGCCGATCATTGAGCTCTCATTTACCGAATTTAATCGTAGAGCCAATACTCCGTTCGGCCTATTAGTGGCCTCAAGAGACTGTTCCGAGACTAGCCATACGTACTCGGGTTCAGTCATTTGTTGCGAATAGATTTGTTGGAAAATACTTCGGGCGTCTTCTCTATTGGCGTACAATAGGAATACTCGACAAAAGGACTCTCTTTTCACTTCATTTAACTCATTTTCTATCGATGGAACCGACGGCTCGTATCTAATTATTGATTCCACTTTTACTGCAATTAATATTCATTTAAATGTTAATTGGGATTCATTTCAGTCTTATGTTAATTACTGTTTGCAATGTCGGCTAAATTCTGGAATCGACCCAAAGTACTTCTACCATCACTATCTGAACTGTGCATTTAATTTGTGTTATTTAAACTATAGAGCGTATATATAATAATAGCAAATATAATTACCTGTGGATGAATATTACACTTAAATATTTGAGTCTTACGAGAATCTCTATCCAAACGTCCGCCTGATGTGAAAACGGAGCCCTAATTGGGTTCAATATAACAATTTATACAGTATATTGTACCAGGGTAATTATTATGGAAAATGCCAAAATTGAAATTGCTTTTAGTTAATGGTTTACTTACAAACTTATAAGTTATGCAGTAACTGCATACTGTTGTATATGTTGTTAACTTTATTATTGTACTTTATTATTGTATATTGTGTTTTTAAATTTTACAAAGTGTTAAAAATATGATTATTTCGATTAATACTACCCTATATTAATTATTCTAGCACACCTAAGAATTTGGGTGCGAGTGATAATGATTTATAAAAGTGAATTCTGTGAATTTAGCAAACAATTTACCGGATTATAGTTTATAAATTGCAATATTATTTAATTTAAAGATAAAGATATTATTTTCTATATTCTGTAAACTAATTATTAATCGATCCATTTGTCTTTAAGTATGAGTTTAATATTAATCGACAATTAATTAAACATTTATACATTGTAGGGTCGAACGATCCTATAAACCACATTATTTATAGCTGAATTGTAGTTAAAAACTTGACATATGGAAGATTATTATACACTTTACAGATTTGATCTAGCTCATTCCGTCGAAGTTAGACGGATTGGATATGGTATGGCTGATACTGATTGGTCAATACTTTTTGACGGATTAGATAATAAGGCATTATACAGTAATTAAAACAATATTTACACAGTTCTGATGAAAGCAGCATGCAAGTTTTTGTTCGATAGTGTACTCTCTCGGTTTGTGATTCCAATGACTATTTTAATAAGCATTAATATAAAGTTAATTTAAAAAGACAAATATAGCCACAAATTAAGATTAGTTATAAATTATAATAGCAACAAACCGGGAATGTTGTAAAAACCTGTTAATTACAAAAATAAATTGTAAATTACGTAAAATTCTTGATTGAAATTTACCGCAAGTAAATGAAACCGACGATAAAGACTGGTCTCCATTTGATGGATGAGATGCAATCACCGCATAGACCTGTTTGGCATATGTTTATTCATATACATTGACATACATGTGATAAATCTGATTAAATGTGTGAAACCTGAGACGAAATTAAACTATCGCAAACGCTTTGTGCGGTTCTTATAGGGTTTGAATTCACGGGAACCGTCAGTGGATATAGAGATACATCTGAAATATTTTTAAACATATAAAAAATTAAAAACATAATAATAGATAAGAATACTATTCTAAAATAATTCGTAAAATATTTTTGTACTCAAAGCAATATGATAATTAACAACAAAGTTGATAATATAAATTCTAGAATAAATTTTGTTAACTTGTCAATTGCAAATTTGACAATATTATTGTATTTAAATAGTTAAATTACATTACTTTTATAAAATTTTATGTCTAACTAAACTCACAAAATTGGAGTTTATAATACAATAGATTGTTTTTTATAAATTAATTAATTTGTATATTTAAGCCCTTATATATTTAGATTCTTAACAAAAACCAAAACTAAATGATTTGATAATTAAGGTAATAAACAAATACTTGTTGGTAAAATTCCCGGTTTGCGATTTATTTCTTCGATATTCTGAAAAACAAATGTTTTGTTAAAAAGACAAACATTTAGCACACGATTACTGAATTAGTGAAAGTGAATTACTTGAGTGAATTCGTATATATTGTCCCCCGAACTGAGAACAGCGCCAATATTATAAATTTTGGGATTTCCATTGAGGGGCACATTATTTTCAAAAACAGATGTGTTATCAGAATAATCACCTCTTGTTGTGCATAAAGAACACAGAATTACAAATAAATTCAATAGCATTACATTAAATGACTTCATTATAATTCAATATAAATTTTTGAATAATAAAGTTGAATGCTTCAGTGATCTCATCACTGATAGTGCAAAAATGCTTTAGTATTAATTTGTTATTTTAGATTTGCATTTAATATCGTTTGGTTTACACAAAAATCGATCCAAACATCACAATTCCTCTCATCCTCTCATCCCTTCACTCTTTTCAGTATCCCTTCAATCCGTATCCCAAGTCATGCTCACAAGTGCTCACTTCATCTCAACATATATTTTGATTATAATTTATACCACTCTTGAGTTACAATAAAAAATATATTCATTTAGTAATTAATCGCACGTTTTTATGTAAAGAATCGTATAATACAAGTAAAATTTATTTATTTATTTATGTCTAACAAAGGGAATGCTTGAAGATTTAAGATAGACTTTAAAGTTTAAACATTTGAAATGATATTTTAATAATAAATTTTAAGATCACATGTTTAATATCTAAAAAGATGATACAATCTAATTTCTAGTATCTAGATAATATACTGTAGATTTTAGATAATATACTGTAGAATATGTGTTAACAGTAAATACCATATAAAATAAAAGAATATTATTGTAATGAATAATTCATAATAAAATGAAGAGTACTTGAAAACTACTAAACAAATTAATGAAATACATTAGTTTTTATTATAATTTGTCACAATATTTTCAGACAATTAGATATATTTGAATAACTTTAAGCGCATATGAGTTGACATGAGATAGCATTACATAATCGGGTATTACTGTAAGAACTGGAATAAGTAATGCAATCATTGACTGGCATTGCATTGCATTACTGTTTGCATATGTTTTGTCACGTGATATGAGAAACATTTGACGAAATCTTAACGTTTTGTTAATTAGTGTTAAGATCTAAGCATTTGTTGAAGAGTTGAAGACATCGGCAGATATTACTCTCCATTCTCGCCATCGAAATGGTCCGCACGTATGAGGAAGAGCTCAAGTATTTGGAGAAACACAACAACTATTGGATTATAAACAAAGGATTCGTCCCTAATATGAGGGCAAGTATTGCAGAACTGATCCATTGATGGCTTGATTGGAGGCCAACACTAACTATAGATATGATTGACATTTTCAGACGGAAGGCATCTTTTATGTGAACGAAATGCTGGAGAAGTTAATGTTGGATGAGTTGAGGGCCAGCACTAAGTCTGGAGGGATCGGAGGCTTTTTGCCGGGCGTTAAACAGATCGCAAACGTGGCCGCACTTCCCGGCATTGTCGGCCGCTCTATAGGTTTGCCAGACATCCACTCCGGCTATGGCTTTGCCATCGGAAATATGGCCGCCTTTGATATGTCAGATCCGGAAGCGATTGTCTCTCCGGGAGGCGTCGGCTTTGATATCAATTGTGGCGTTCGTTTGCTTCGAACCAATCTTCAAGAGAAAGACATTAATCCAGTGAAGGAAGAGTTGACTCAAGCGCTCTTCGATCACATCCCTGTCGGCGTCGGCTCTAAAGGTGTTATTCCTATGAACGCCAAAGACTTGGAGGAAGCGTTGGAAATGGGAATGGATTGGTCTTTGAGAGAGGGCTACGCGTGGGCTGAAGATAAGGAACACTGCGAAGAATACGGAAGAATGCTTTCGGCCGATCCCTCCAAAGTGTCGATGAAGGCTAAGAAGAGAGGTTTACCTCAATTGGGAACTCTTGGAGCCGGCAATCATTACGCAGAGATACAAGTGGTGGACGAGATTTTTGATAAGCAAAATGCATCTAAAATGGGAATCGATTCTTTAGGACAGGTCTGCGTTATGATCCATAGCGGGAGCCGAGGGTTTGGTCATCAGGTGGCCACCGATGCTCTTCTCCTAATGGAAAAGGCTATGAAACGCGATCGCATTGAAGTCAATGACCGACAACTGGCCTGCGCTCGCATCGCATCACAAGAGGGTCAGGACTATCTCAAGACAATGGCTTCTGCGGCCAACTTTGCGTGGGTTAACAGGAGTTCCATGACTTTCCTGACACGACAGGCATTCGCTAAGACATTCAAGACAACTCCCGATGACTTGGATTTGCACGTCATATACGATGTCTCGCATAATATCGCGAAAGTAGAGCAGCATTTGGTCGACGGAAAGC